TTGTTATTATTATTATTGTTATTATTATTGTTATTATTATTGTTATTATTGTTATTATTGTTATTTTTATTATTATTTTTATTATTATTATTATTATTATTATTATGATGATGATGATGATGATGATGATGATGATGTAACGGTTTCTGGTCACGTATCAATTTTTTGGCTAAGTACCTCGTCAGTCGTCTGCTCCCAAGTGGCCTGTGACTCTGGGGCTGAAGTGGAGCACCCTAGCGTAGCGCAACCCAACTGCTCCCTGTAGGAGATGATTTGGCTGCCAGCAACGGCGGGAACTGAACTGGCTACTCCCTACTGGCGATGATCTGCTCATCTTTGTAGGCGGCGAGAGCTGAGGGACCTACGAGAACTAAATTAGAGAACCTGGGGTGTTTACCCGGCGAGGTCACTCTGATGGCTAAGTCAACACAGTAGCGAGCTAAAAATGATATAAGAGAATGAGAGCTAGAGAGCAGAGATCACGCATTACCTTTGCACTAGGGGGGTGAGGTCGTTATATACTGGAGTCCTCGTGGGTTTGGTGGAGCAGTTCCTGGATTCCCGCTGTGATGGGACCTGCTTTCGTGTTAGGTGGGGATAAAGCCACCAACCGGTAAGGTTGCCCATTTCCACCTAAGTCAGGGAGTGGGTGAGCTAATATAGTCGTTACAAGTCATAATCCCGTAAAACGCGGGCTACGATGGTGAGCTCCTCGGGGTTGTCAGGTTGGCACGTGGCCCAGGCCGCCAGGTCGCGCCAGGGTCAGGCTGCCAACTCATGCCAAGGCCAGGTTGCCAGCTCGTGCCAAGGCCAGGCTGCCAGTTCGTGCCAAGGCCAGGCTACCAGGTCGCGCGTGCGCCAGGCCGCACCTTTGCCTCGTCATTTGGTAGTGTATCCCACTGACGACGCCAATTGAAGAATCAATTTTTTGTTATATATCAATCTTTTGGCTAAGTACCTCGTCATTTGGTCTGCTTCCAGATGGCCGATGACTCAAAGGCCGAAGTGGAGCTGCCAGTGAGGTGTCGAGCTGCCTGTGAAGTGCTGGGCTGACCAGGTGCAGGGCTTCCTGTGGCGAACTGCCTGGTGGTGAGCTGCCTGTGGCGAGCTACCTGTGGCGAGCTGCCTATGGCGAGTTGCTTGGTGGCGAGCTGCCTAGTTATCAAGAGGCTGCACTTAGTTGGCATGAGGTGCCATGTGTCACAATGTCACCAGAGGGCCAAATCCGCCCTCATCATTTGCCCCCCACTCCCGAGCTGAAAGTAACTCGGCGAAGGGAGTAGATTTCTCCTTTTGGCCCATAATTCGACGAGCTCGTAAGAGCTGATTCAGTTTCTTATGCTCGGGGAGCTGCTTGGAAGTGAGTTGCCCGTAAGGTGATGAGATCTCTGCCAGTTCGGTACTATAGCCCTTAGGCTCTGGGAGCGACTTCTGGTCCACTTCTGGACTTTGCCCATGCCGAAGAGGCAACTGGGTCCTGTGCAGTAATGTGGCCCTTAGGCTTTGGGAGCGACTTGTATTCCACTCCTGAACTTTGCACATGCTAAAGAAGCGATTGGGTCTTAAGCAGTATTATGGCCCTTAGGCTTTATGAGTGACTTGTTGTCCACTCCTGAACTTTGCCCATGCTGAAGTAGCGACTGGGTCTTAAGCAGTAATGTAGCCCTTAGGCTTTGGGAGCGACTTGTAGTCCACTCCT